TTGCTTCGTTATGGTGTATGAGGGAGACTCTTCTGAGAGTAGCTTAGGCTCTCTAAATTTTGTCATATTCTTTACCTTCTCAAAGTTCTCGAACGTAGAAAATAATTTTATCCCGGGGAGGAAAAGTCACTCCTGAAATATTAGCTTCCATGAAAAGGCTATGGGATTTACTCATTTAGTTGGTGGTAACTTGGAGCTCTGAATACAAAGTGAAATTATCACCTAATGTTTGTAAAATGTGTACCGTCATACTTTGTGATAAATTATGATTTATAAAAATTATCCTTCCCGATCCCAGAATGAGTCAGATTATCTCATGATATTATAAATCAGTTTTTGCCTAAGTACTTATTTTATATTAGAAAGCATTCTCTTAAAAAGCCTGTGTTTAAGTGGCTATATGGTAAGACTGAACTCAATGAATAAGATTAAACAACTTTTGAATATTCTGAATCCTGAAATAAAGCGGACTTGGCTTTGATTTGCACTAAAAGGTCTACAGTCACTTATCCATACTGGATTTATCAGACATTTAGGGAAGAAGGATTTAACTTCTCTTACTGCAGTTCTCTGTTAAGAGGGCAGATCTGACCTAAGCCACTTCTGTAGACTTTACTGGTGATAAATGTTGAAATTTAAATGTGAGAAATTCACAGTCATAAAGTAGGAAATACATAGTAGGTGGTTTGGTTTGTGTAATGATATATTTTTGTTCCAGCATGTTGACTGTGTACGATATGGAGAATACCCTGGGGATGAAGATTAAAAAGAACTGGAGGGGTTGAATATCCTGTGACGCATTTGAAAAAGGCTTAAGGGACTTGGTAACAAGAGTTTATGACTTATGTTCTTGGTTTACTTGAGAACCAGTCATGAAGTGTTTTTAAGTTATAGGAAAAGAATTACACTTCAGGCTTATAGAACTTCATTTACTTCTTGGAATTACTTCAACTTTTTTCTTTTAAAATATGGCATATTAGGATGACTTGTATTACCTAACATGTTTAATTCATTATCATTATATTTTAACTTAATATACTTAGTCTGTGTCTTAGTTTTAAATTTGAGTTTCACATGGGTGAGGTTCTTTGTTAATAACAAAGCATTATCTACTAAAGTCTTCAGGCAACCATTTATTTATGTGTTCAAAGCTATGTTTATTATAAAATAAGAGAATACACTGAAGAGTTCCAAAGAAATATGTTTGTAACAATTATGTTGCTTAAACATTAAGATCCCTGATCTAAAAAGAAAGCTGATTAGCCCAAGGAATTCTGACTGTGAAAAATAGTATTAGGTATTGGATTACAATGAGTTTTAGTTTAGTATACATCATTGATGGTGCCCTTACTTTTGATTGGTAGACAGGTAGACATAATTGCTTAAGTGACTTCGCCTGCCTTGCAGGTAGGCATGGTAAGTAAACTCATTCTAAAATACTGATTTAGTTTCTCCAAGTGACCTTAAAATATTGCCCTCAACCTCTGATTTGGAAATTATCGAAGGCTTACTTTTGAGCCCTTTAAGAAAGTCTATTTTGTATTATAGTTTAAAGGAAATATCTAGAAGAAATTATATTTCACTTTATATTTTAGAAATAATAATTATCCAGTTGAATAATTAAGTTGAATAATTAACATTTAGCATATCTAAAACATTGTCTTGAGTGGGAAATAAAACCAATATTATGAACTATTTAGAGGAAAGATGATATTTAAATAAAACACAATTCAGAACTTCTTTTTTAAGTTTTGAATTTAATCACTCAGACACTGATCATTTATTTTTATTTTTATTTTTTTTGAGACAGAGCCTCAAGCTGTCCCCTTGGGTAGAGTGCCGTGGCATTACAGCTCACAGCAACCTCCAACTCCTGGGCTCAAGCGAGTCTCCTGCCTCCGCCTCCCAAGTAGCTGGGACCACAGGCACCCGCCACAACGCCCGGCTATTTTTTGGTTGCAGCCGTCATTGTTGTTTGGTGGGTCCAGGCTGGGGATTCGAACCTGCCACCTTAGGTGTACGTGGCTGGCGCCTTAGCAGGTTGAGCTATAGGCGCCGAGCCTGATCATTTATTTTAGATTGACCTTTATCACAGTGCATTTGCTTTTAAACTTGCTTGCTCTTCATGAGATGAATTTGCATCTTATAGAATAAGAGAATCTTAGAGTTAAAAGAAATCTTCCTAAGTGTGGTGACACGCTCTGTAGTCCCAACTGCTCAAGATGGGTGAGGCAGGATTATCTCTTGAGCCCAGCAGTTTGAGGTTGCTGTGAGTTATGATGACTCCATTGCACACTAGCCTGGGCAACAGAGTGAGACCCTGTCTTTAAAAAAAAAAAAAAATTGAAGATAGATACCTTACAGGTCATCTAGCTCAATTGCTTTCCTTGACCATCAATGAAACATTCGTGTCACAATCATCTTCTGGGCTATATATAACAAACATTTCCATTGACTGGGAATGCAGCACTTCTAGAGGCAGCTCATTTCACTTCAGGACAAGTTTGATGTAAATTCTGTCTTACATTGTGCCAAAATTTACCCCTGAGTTTCCTGCCCTTGGTATTAGTTTTACCCCTTGAGATTATGTAGGTTCATGCTTCCCTCAAATGTTGTAAAGCCAATGTTATAATTCTCTTGAATTTTCTCTTTCTCTTTTTTAAGATTAGCATTCCCAGTATTTTTAAATATTCCTCAGAATCTGATTTTAAGGCATTTTACTCTTCTTTTCTTCTCTTTATCCTCCTTTCTTCTGCTTTATTGGCCTCTGAATGTATTCCAGTTTGTCTATTGTTTTCTAAACTGTAGTACAAAATTCTGGATTTCTTATATTATCTATATCTCGCCCACAGTCTCAGAGTTATTGATAATTTAACTTTTTGGTATCCTCATTCATCATTCTTTTAAGGTAATTCTTTATCTCTGTAGAGTTTAGTTAATTCTTCACTAATACTTCTTAAAATGATTTTTACACATACTATGGAAAGCCTATCTCTTCACTTTTTGATACTTATGTAGCTAGTGGTAAGATGTTTTCCCACAGGCTTTCACTACCAATTTGATGGTGAACTGTGGGAGGAAAAATATAAATCTCACTTTCTTAAAACTGGCACCAGGTTAGGTAGTCTGGGTAAAGGTTTGGGGACAGTGAAGTTAATGGCTAAAGCAAAGTTTGCAGATTATTCATTAATTCAGGCATAATATTTCTCATTTAATACCTTTAAAAGGGTGTATGCATCTTACATATTCTTGACATCTGCATTCGATACTGCCAAAAAATATTTTAGGCAACTTATTCTTGATGTGGGAACAAGAGAAGGCGAGTATAGAGACAGAGTTTCAGGCCTTGAAGATCTGATTTTCTATACTTTTTTTGAAATTGGACTTGGAATACTATGTTCTTTTTAAAGTAAATAGTGGAAAGTACGCAAATTATTGTTGTATATTTCTACCTTTGTCTATTTCATGGTAATCGGATCTACATTAATGTTAATATTTTTTCTACTTTTTCATTTTAGAAAGATAATATGACATCACACTGAGCCCCTCACTCTTTCCAGATCCTTCTTCAGGAATTCACTTTATGTTCTGGTGACGCTGGATAATTTTATGTACTTCCATGTTTGTTTATTGTTTCTCATACTGTTTTCTTTGCCTGTAATAACTGATGAACTCTTGAACTACTATTGAAACCCCATTCGAGCTTTCATTGATAGTCCCAATTTTATACTGAGTTAATTGCTTTTTGTTCTTCCTTCCACTGTTCTTTATTCTACTTATTTATTTATTTGAGACAGATTATCACTCTGTTGCCCAGGCTAGAGTCCAGTGGCATCATCATAGGTCACTGCAACCTCAAACTTCTGAGCTCAAGCAATCCTCCTGCCTCATTCTCCTAAGTAGGTGGGACTATAGGTGCACACCACCACACCGCTATTTTTTGGAGAGACAAGTTCTCACTTGTTCTCACAGGTTGCTCAGACTGGTCTCAAATTCCTAGCTTCAAGCAATCTTCCCACTTTGGTCTTCCAAAGTCCTAGAACATCCCTGTTTTTTTTTTTTTTTTAAAGCTTTGTCTTCTGTACTGCAAGCACTTCAAAGGCGTAGGTCTATTTTAAAAATCATTTTAGGAGTGTATTTAAGAATCTAATAGATAACTCAATAAACGTTTACCAAAATTGCATTTTATATGTATATTTATTTATGTAAACATGTATGTAGTTTATGTATTTACATATATATGGTATCCCAACACACATGTACAGACACATTACAGGTAAAGATTTCTATGCTTTATTGGTTTTGAAAAGTTATACACATAAAATATTACCAGACCTATGAACTGGCCTCAATTCAAAGATAATTTTAGCTCAATTCTTTTTAAAAGACTGAATTAACATATCATTTTGACATTTTATCTGACCTCGTGTTTGTATTCTAGATTGTATTAGGATCACAGTTTTTTTAATGAAAAAAATATACTTATGGGCAACTAAGTTTGACTTCTGTGTAAATCAGCATCCACTTTAATTGAGAATCAGTTTTTACTTATTAAAAAACCCTCAGATCACAAATTATAATTATTTCATATAAATTACTAGAATGTAGGAAACAGGTTAAGAATTGATGTAAGCATTTTTATTTGAACATGAAAAAATGTGAGTGAGACTGAAAAACTGAACCATCTGCTCTGACCTAAAGAACGGGTTTTAATGATTGGCAGGGTTTGTGGATAATTCTTTTCTAAGCTTCACATAGTCTTCTTATCTTCCCTTTTTAGTTTCCTTGTAAATTGAAGTTTTGAGAATTGGTGGGAAGTGGGAAGGTTTTTAGGAATATCTACCTAAGGAAATGTTTTAACATTGCACATCTCTCTCCTACAGTATATACAATACATGTTCATTTTGTGTTTCTATGTGTTAGTTTACCTTCAACATTAATTTCTACCTCTGACCTGGACACACATGTACCTTATCTTTTATAATCTTACAGGATTATTTCTTCACAAGTGAAAAATGAACGAAAATAAAGATGCTGATTCCAAAGAAAGTGGAGAATATGAAGATGATTTTGAAAAGGACCTGGAATGGCTAATTAACGAAAAAGAAAAAAGTGATGCCAGCGTAACAGAGGTATGTATATATTGCCAGTAGCATTCATTCATAATGCTTCATAACAAAATGCTTTGCAGTTCTTGAAGGTTTTCACATTATTATCACATCTAAACCTCACAAAATTCCTTTGAGGTACATGGATAATTATCATTATCCCTATCTTAGAGATTAGAAAATTGAGCCTTATAGTGTTTAAATGTTGTATCCTAAAGCGTAGGGCTGGTTAGTGAGAGAATACCAATTAAATTAGCACTCAATAAAGTTAAAATGATTAATATAAAATTATAATTTAGACAATATAAATAAATAATAAAATCATGATTTATTGCATCAAAAGTTAAAACAAGTATAGTTAATTTCTACTTTCCCTTAACTTGGGTAAAATCATAGGGTTGTTATTATTATTATTATTTTTTGAGACAGAGTCTCATTTTGTGGCCCTGGGTAGAGTGCCATGGCATTGTAGCTCATAGCAACCCCTTGGGCTCTAGCAATCCTCTTATCTCAGCTTTCTGAGCAGTTGGGAGTACAGGTGCCCACCACAATGCCTGGATAGTTTTTCTATTTTTAGTAGAGATGGGGTCTCGCTTAGGCTGATTTTGAACTCCTCAGCTCAGGTGATCCATCTGCCTTGGCCTCCCAGAGCACTAGGATTATAGGCATGAGCCACTGTGCCTAGCTTGTGCTTTTAAAGATGAAAATAATTGAAAATAAAGTAAGTTGGCTTGGCGCCTGTGGCTCAAGTGGCTAAGGCGCCAGCCACATACACCTGAGCTGGCGGGTTCTAATCCAGCCTGAGCCCACCAAACAACAATGACGGCTGCAACCAAAAAATAGCTGGGCGTTGTGGTGGGCACCTGTAGTCCCAGCTAGAGGTTGCTGTGAGCTGTGATGCCATGGCACTCTACCCAGGGCGACAGCTTGAGGCTCTGTCTCAAAAAAAAAGAAAGAAAGAAAATAAAGTAAGTCCTCAAACAACATCATTTAATATTTGAAGCTTTAAAACTGAATTAATTCTCCTGGGAAATGAATGTAGAGAAAAAATTAAAGAGTCAGGAATAGGAATACATCTAGGAAAAAGTGTTTCTATTAAACATCATCCTATATTACTTATCAGAGATGTAGAATGGAAATCTGAGAAGATGAATCAGTTTCTGGATCATAGTAGGTTCTTTTTCTCTCTCTCTTTACAAACTTATAGTTTGTACATATACACACATATATTTACACACACATAGATAAGTTAGTATCAGTAGGTAGGGAAGTTATGAGGAAAAGACCAAAGCCTGGGGTATGAATAGGTGATTTGGAGGACTAATAAACCAGATTGACTGTGGTTAAGGAAAAGAATATGAGGAAATGCAAGTTTTATATCACAAACTTTTCTTACTTCCATTTGCTTCATTATACAATGGAGAGAAAAATGGAGTAGACAATATTTGAAAAAGGCAACAGAGTCAAAAGTGAAGATTCTTCTAAGATGGCTTTTAAATGTTAGTTTTATGCATGGTAACAGAAAAATAATCACAGTCACTAGAGGCAAATATATCCAGAATAGGAAGTTTAACCAATTTTTCATGACGAAAAGGATGTGAGATGTAACACACAGGGTGATAGAAGTATAGAGGTAATGATGGTGATTTATTATTTTTAAATTTATTCAGCAAATATTAATGATCATCTAACATGTGTCAGAGGCTGTTCCAGGTTCTGGGGACACAGCAGGGACTAAAAAATGTGCTGTCATTTCAGTTAATGATTACAATAACCTCTTTTGAGGCTGGTGGGAAAAGGGGATGACAGAGCTAAAGACAGGGAGGAGAAATATGTCTTTATTAAAAGTAGTTTTTATAAAAGAAAAGGAAAAGAAAGCCAAAGGAGAACTCAGAAATAGATCATAAAAATGTGAAAACACCCCAAAACTAAAAAGAACAATTGTAATGCAGAGATCTCAGTCACATTATAGATATTATATTTGGCAGTCATTTTAAAGGGCCAGGTTTATTTGCTACCAGACACATGGCAGTATTGTGCAGGACAGAAAATGAAGGCCATCAGAACAACCAGCAGCAAGTAAGAAGAAAGCAATTTTAAGGGGTTGAAGAGAGTAGAACGTAGGGCGGCGCCTGTGGCTCAGAGGAGTAGGGTGCTGGCCCCATATGCCAAAGGTGGTAGGTTCTAACCCAACCCTGGCCAAAAACTGCAAAAAAAAAAAAAAAAAAAAAAAAAAAGAGAGTAGAATGTAGCAGCTCCAAGGAAACGGTGTGGGAGGGAGGGACTTATCTAAGAAAGAGGGAAAAGTACATATTGTTGGGGTAAGTGTTTGGTAGAAGAAGTGGAGCAGAGTTTTATGATGTGGTAATACTGGCTTATGATGGATGTGGAATTATTCTTTTTAATGTAAAGCAAAGATGTCTGATGGTAGTTAATGTGGATTATTGACATCTCTGAAGATAGCTTAGCAAGGAAAATATGCTCCAGAGGTAAACATTGACCTGGAATTTGGATGTAGGTCCTGCAGAAGATGGTGCAATAGTAGTCTGGAAAGATTAAAAGAACCTTAAATTATTCGGACTCAACTAAGGACTCAACCCTAAAATGGTCTGGAGAGAAAGATGCATTATTAAAGAATAAAAGTATTACAAGGAGGAAATATTTTAGAAAATATTCTTCTGAATATTTAAAAAAGGAAAATTTTATAGGAAGAGGAATAATAAATACAATTATGTTATTTATAGTTACCCAAATTTGACGCATTAGCATAAAAATTGTAAAGAATATAGCACTTAGCGACATCAAATTCAAGCTCAGAGTTGAATTATCCCTAAACTGTTGTTGCATGTATGTCCCTTGAATGCTCCTATGTATGAATTACAACATGATGGGCGAAGTATGAGCAAGAAGCACTTAGATTTTCCCATTCATAACATAAATTACATGAATAGGAAAATTCATTTTGCATTGTTCATATATGAATGAACAAAGAGCTTAAATTTTGACTAAAAAACATAACATCATATCTTTTTTTTTAGATGGCATTTGAGAAGGAAAAGCATGTTAACCAAGAATTAAAAGAGAATGAAATAGAAGTAGAGCACATCGAACAGCTTGCTGATCCTGACAAATCTTTGAAGGATGAGGCTTCATTAAGAAGAAATGACTTCATTTCTGTACCAAGTATTCACCCTTTGGATCCTGTTTCAGATTCAGATAGTGAAAACTCTTCCCAAGAATCCAAACTAGAAATTCAGAAAGACCTGGAGGAGGAAGAGGATGAGGAAGTAAGGAGATATATTATGGAGAAAATTATACAGGCTAACAGGCTTCTGCAGAATCAAGAACCTGTGAATGATAAAAGGGAGAGAAAACTCAAGTTCAAGGACAAATTAGTTGATCTGGAAGTTCCTCCATTAGAAGACATTGATAATTATAAAAATTACTTTGAAAATGAAAGTAATATGTCTGGAAAACTATCACAGTTATGTATTTCCAGTCAATTTGGACAAGAAAATGTGCTCCTGTCACTTACAGATGGAAACTGTGAAGAAAATAAGGATAGGAAGATACTGGTAGAGAGAGATGGAAAGTTTGAACTTCTGAATATACAAGACATTGAGAGTCAGGGATTTTTACCCCCTATTAATAATGCTAATAGTACAGAAAATGAACAGTTGTCACCCAGATTTTCTAGCTCATTAGTCAATGGTGTCAAGAAAGAAGATTCTGCAGCAAAGATTCATGCTACCACTCACTTATCAACAGGCGAGCCACAGGCTTACGTTCCTCAGCCACCACCCAACCCCAAAACTCGCCCAAATTCTGCTGCCAACTCAAATCGAAATAAAGGGAATGGGAAATTCAATAACAGGACACATTCTGCAACTATATCTCCAGTAACCTCAACATACTGTCTTTCTCCCAGACAGAAAGAACTGCAAAAAAAACTAGAACAAAAGAGAGAAAAACTAAAAAGAGAGGTGAGAACATACGAGAATGTTTGTATGTTTTCTTGTTTTATACATGCAATAGGAATTCAAACCATTGTTCAAAGTACTGAGATATTTTTTCCTTGCTTTATTTTTGTATTGTTACTTTAATTGATTTAGTGTTAAGAATATATATTTCAGGAACAAACACTGCGATTACATTGGTCCTTGTAAGGATCACAAAACAAAGTAGAATTATCTGGGTTAGAGCTAGAGATCTCAGTGATGAGTTCATCTGATCCTTTCCTTTTCAACGTGAGACTCAGAGAAGTTAAATAACTATTGAAAGTACTCTTGATATTAGGTAAAAATCAAATGTCAGATGGAAAAGTGAAGGCACAAAGTTGTAGGGGTTTAGGAGACAACAGGAATGCTTGGATTCTCTTGTATGTGTGTTTTATATATTTTGTATTCCTATAATTCCCTAATTTCAGGGATTTTAGTTTTCCATTAAGAATCGAGTCCAATAGCCTTAATGAAATATTTCCAAAATGCCATAGGGAATCTTCAATTAATTGGTTTTTCCAGAGACAGAGTCTTGAGGGTAGTGGCCTGACCATTAGTTCACTATAACCTCCAACTCCTGGACTTATGAGGTCCTCCTAAGTAGTTGGGACTACAGACATATACCACTATGCCTAATTTAAAATTTTTTTGTAGAGACAGGGGTCTTGCTACGTTGCCCAGGCTGATCTTGAACTCCTTGCCTCAAGTGATTCTCCTACCTTAGCTTCTCAGAGTGCTGAGATTATGGGCATAAGCCACTGTGTTTGCCCTTAAATGAAACTCTGTATTTTATCATTGAAAACTCCAGGAACTTAAACTGGCAGCTTTTCTCTGAATTACTCCAGTTCTGTGATTTACTAGATACCTAATTGTACTACATATTAAGCTGGGCTATACAAAGTATCTAATTGTAAATACAAAAACTCAGCAGAATAATAGCTTAATAGAATTTTACAATTAGAAGTAACTTTAAAGGTCATTTTACAGATAAGAAAGCCATAGCCTAGAAAATTTAAATGACTTTTCCAAAGTCACTCAACTTGTTAGTAGCAAAGTTGGAATCCAATCCTCATTTTACATCTCTTTAAAAACGGTGTGCTTTTTATGTTATGAAGGAGGTTCTGAGGGAATTTCTGACATTTAATTCAGGAATTTATATTAGCCACAAAGGGTCACTGACTGAATTCTTAGTCAAACCCAGTGTACTGGTTTAGGTTTAAAATAATATTTAAAAGTTTCAGAAATTTATCACAATGCAGAAGAATTTGTTGAGAGTGAACTATGTGTTTGCTGTACACAAACATGAGGGTATGCATATATTTTTACAGAAGTTATATGGGGAATTTTATAAAAATGTCAGTGGTTTTTTACCAATTAACTGATGATATTCTTTAAATGGTGCAAATGGTGGACAGTTCTGTTTTCATTTTGATTCTTTCTTTTGGGGGTATCATATACTATTTATTCTGAGATACACTTCTACTGGAACAGTATTCTTACAACTAAATTTCCTTTTTCTCAAGGCACGGTCTTCAAGTGTTAAGGCTTTTAACAGTTTTTAGTTGGTTTCATGGAAAAGCTTTTCTTTTTTATGCCCAATATTTACTGGGTTGGGCTGTTATCACCTGTCTTTCTATATTAAGTGCATCATTTCAATATTCTCTTTGGCAACTGCGTTAGTTATGCTTTGGTTGCTACCTTCTGTGTAATATAGCTAAATGTTTTTTGTGGGAAGATAATCATCTTTTATCATATTGTATTCCTACAAGGCATCCAAAGTCCTTTTTGTAAAAGGAAATATATAAATAAATGTAAAACTTTAATAATAAATTCACATTTTACATAACAGTCGCTTCAGAGCTCAGAAAATATCATTTTCAACGTTATTTATTCTGTTTAGGAGAATTTTTCCTTTACTTTTGCTCAGTCAACAGGAGTTAGAAAGGCTTATATTGTCAAAAAGTAAGGAAACCCATGTTGAATTCTATTATTTGAAAATTTAAGCATGGACTTGTATAATTCAGTTCACATCAATAATAAAATTTTAGTACTAAAAGAGACTTAAAAACTGATTAATGTAACTCCATTTTATAGATGAGAAAACTGAGGCAGGAATTAAGTGCTTTGCCCAAATTGACACAGTATGATCACAGAAGGATTGTCACCTAGATCTGCTAACTTCTGGCTTGGTGCTATTTCCACCACGCCATGTTTTGTGCCCAGTGACTATTAATATTTTGTGGTTCTTTATTACTGATTTAAGTACCTCCCTTCAAGTTTAAGGAACTCTTTTATAACATTAGCTAAATCAGATTTTAAAAATTCATTTTGTTCTTAATAGTTGACCAAGTGTCTAAATTATTTTCTGATACCAAAATGTTATTTTCTGAATATAAACTACTTGAAAAAAAATATATATATATTTTGTAGAGACAGAGTCTCACTTTATTGGCCTTGGTAGAGTGCTGTGGCATCACACAGCTCACAGCAACCTCCAACTCCTGGGCTTAAGCAATTCTCTTGCCTCAGCCTCCTAAGTAGCTGGGACTACAGGCGCCTGCCACAACGCCTGGCTATTTTTTGGTTGTAGTTCAGCTGGGGCCGGGTTTGAACCCACCACCCTTGGTATATGGGGCCGGCGCCCTACTTTCTGAGCCACAGGCACCACCCTTGAAAAATATTTTTAAACATTCTAATAAAACATTCAAACATTCAAGATGGTACAATTAACTCCTTTATCCCCATCACTCATATTCAAAAATCATTGAGATTTTGGCATATTTGTTTTATCTCTCCTTTTTTTTTGGCTGAAATTTTTTAAAATTAAGACTTAGACAGCATATCCCATCTCACTCATATACTTCAGTACACATCTCTAATGATTATGGTATTTTTTTCATGATAACAATGTCATTTATCAAAATTAACAAATTTAACAGTAATATAAAAAGTTTTAAGACATTCATAGAACTTCTGGAGTATATTTTTTTCTTTTGCATACCTGCAATTTGATAAGTTTAATACCAGAGTAAACAAGGAAATAGGGGACAGATCCAAGATACTCCTGATCAGCATGTATGTATCAAACATTGATGTAGTGTAGACTTTATGTCTACAGTTCATCTTAAAAACCCCTAATCACCCCCCAAGTGTATAAAGGAGCCCCGTTTTTTTAAGGAGGCCAAATTTTCAGATGGCAAATTTTAGGGTCAGGGAATCCTAATTTCAGATCTCAAAATACATTTCTATGCTCTGATAACTCATACAATTTTATTTTATTAGTGTTTTTTCATATTTTTTCCACTAGGAAGAGCAACGGAAAATGGAAGAAGAGAAAGAAAAGAAAAAGGAGAACGACATGGTATTTAAAGCATGGTTACAAAAGAAACGAGAGCAGGTCCTTGAAATGAAGAGAATTCAGCGAGCAAAGCAAATTGAAGATAGCAGTAGAGTAAGTACAACTTCTCTAGGAAAAATAAGTGCATGAAGATATAAAAGCTGAACCTATGTACAGAAGGATGTCTGAATATCAGAATAAGAGTCTATGGACGAAGTAGAAAAGTGGTCTAGGAACGACTCCTGGAAAAGATGTAGTATGCAGATGACTTTACAGTTGGGTTCTGAGAGGTCTTATGACAATCATATGACTCCTATTTTGTCCTTTTGTGGTGAGGACATTTAATATCTTTTCTTCTGCTTATTTTGAAATATCCGTTATTGTTAACTATAGTCACCCTACTATGCGATGGAACATTAGAACTTATTCCTCTTTCTAACTGTAACTTTGTACTTGGACTCTTTTGATCTGTAATTCCAGATTGAACATTTTTCTGTCATCTGTAGCCATTCCCAGACTTCCAGGTATTCAGCAGTCATCCTCCAGATTAAGGATTCCTCTCCAGAAAGTTCAGTTGTGCAACAAATATTCTGAATTACATAAATCTAATGAGACTGGAGCCTACTTGGCAATGTGGGTTACAGACATGGAAAACTGCAAGATACAGGAAACAGTCTTCTTTATCACAGAGCTTATATTTGGGGAAAATATCAAATCAGCTTATTCTTTTGTGTTCTAGCCAAGCAACGGCATAATGTTACACTTTTCCAGTTAGGATCCCAAATTGGTCCTCTTTTTCTTCTTAATTACCCCCCAAATAATAGCTCTTTCACTTTTGAGAATTCCGTGAATGTCAACCATGAAGTTTGAGGGACCACGAAATAAGCTATTCCTACTTAGCTCATGGCTGTTATGAGAAAGTTCTTATGTTTGAAAATCCTTATGGCTATTCTCCATAATAGCAATTGCAATTTTGAAGATGTGCTTAGCAGTTGATTCTGCTAGAGGTTTTTTTAAAACTTAAAAAAAGTTATAATTTAAAAGGATGAATCAAATACTGGATCTTTTATTTACAAACTGTATTCTATAGAGCTGCTTTGGGAACTGCCACAAGATAAGCCCATTCATACTGCCTATCCCCAACCGTTTTTCAATCCTTTGTTTTATTTGTACCCATGTGCCATATGATTTGGTTTGACAAAGGGTTAAACTTTGAAAATTTTGAAAATCATTGCTTTTATGCTTCATTTATTGATTACTTCAATGAGACTTTTGAAAGAAACCATAGACAAGTAGCAATAAGCTTAAATGTTGAATTTTCTATCAGAGGTGTTGCTGATTTCAGGGTGTTGAGTTTGGTTTGGATACTAGGTAGTAGGGATGTGGGTAATGAGGTTGATGTTATTATGGAAAAATGAAGAGACAGATGTGTATTCTTGTGGAGTACAACAAAGGACCCCCAAATGTAGTTTTGGTTTATCAAAAGTAAGCAAAACTTGTTTTTCTAATCAGCAGGAAAATAGAGATCCACAACAAGCTTTTCGATTATGGCTTAAAAAAAAGCATGAAGAACAGATGAAAGAAAAAAAGACAGAAGAACTCAGAAAGCAGGAGGAATGCTTATTCTTTCTTAAAGGAACAGAAGGCCGTGAAAGGGCCTTTAAACAGTAAGTTAAAGGAAGAACATTTTCCCTCACTTCCTTGTGGTAATTTTAGAAAGTTATATGATCAATAAAGATTGACCAAAAGAAAAAAAGCCTAAATGTTTTCTCTCTTACAGTATGAACTTACTCAGTTTTAGATTCATGTTTTAAAAAATGGGTAATTCTTTTTTTTGAAGTGTACATTATTTTATATTCACCATGCTGTGCAATATAGCTCAAAGAAAATAATCTTACTCCTCCCACCTGAGGCTTTAACCATCATCTCCCAGTCTGCCCCATCTCTGATAACTATCATTCTAATCTCTGCTTCTTGGAGCTCCCTTGTTTCAGATTCCCCATGTAAGAGAGAACTTGCAGTATTTGTATTAATACTTACTTAGCATGATGTTCTCCAGTTCCTTACGTGTTTTTGCAAATAACTATTTTTTATGGCTGAAGAGTAAAAATGGGTAATTCTTTAAATCTGTAATTTATATATTTATACCATTTTTGTTCAGGTTACTTTTCAATACTAAAATTATTTCTTATGACACCAGCTTCTGTGATACCTTGCTGTTTATTTATTTGTTGTTTAATTGTGTGCTTCTGAGAGAAATGAGTCAAAGATCAGTTACAACTTCTTCTATGTAGCTCTCCAAAACACTGGATAAAGAGTTGCATTTAGCAATTAATGTTTTTCTGTAAAGAAAGGCAGGTGGGCTGAGGAGGAAAATCTGTATAGATCAAATGAAAAAGAGGTTTCAGTATATGTTTTATTAATTTAAGGCACAGGTGTCCAACTTGTGACTGGTGGGCTGCATGCTGATTTTGTGAGGACTTTTTTTGGTTATCTGTGGAGACACAGAGATGGATTATGGTAATGGTATATGCAGGGACCTTTTTATGTTGTTATTAATCAGCTTTCCCTAGTATTTGTGTATTTACTGTGTAGCCCGAGACAACTCTTATTCTTCCAATTTGCAGCAGAAAACAAAAGGTTGGACACTCCTGATTTAAGACAAACCTTATTTCTCAGTTATCTGGGGAAAGATTCTGTGGTACTTTGATAATTCTGAGAATATAGACCTACCTTCATAACTTTGCTAACAAGTCTTAGAGGAAGGTGGAGGACAGCGTGAATATTCAAATTGTTTTAAGTTCATTTCTTTTTCTTTGTCTTCTTTTGCTATCTTTTTTTCCTTTCTAGTTTATATAACCTTTTATTATAACAGAAACAGTAATGTGCATTGTGGAAATGGAGGAGTTTAAAGTCACATTTTCATCACCCAGAAGTCATGGGTGATGACTATTAGAACTACAGGGCACATTTTCTAGATATTTTTCTATGCATAAATATAATTTTAAAACAAATAGCAATCATACTGTATATAATATTCTGCAGTCTGCTTATTTTTGTTAATGATCTCTTCTACTGTTCAGTCTATATCCACCTTTTCCCCAACTGACCTGTAAATTATTTGCAGTTGCTTAAACTAGCTTCCAATTCAGAATCATACATCAGGTCACAATGTTTTTTAAGTCCCTTTTATTTAAATATTGAATTATATAGAATTATTTCTTTAAAAAATAAACATGTACCGTATATATACACATACCACATACATATTTATATACCAGCTATTTGTGTGTATACAGTTGTTCTTGATGTTATAAGTAGGCAAGCTTTATAGACTTGAATTTGTTAGAATGCAGCTTTTCCTTTACCTCTTGTGATGTTTTCATGTGCAGGCTTATTTTTCCATTTTAAGGAAG